ATTTCATTAAAATTTAATAAACTATCATCTTGTCTTTATTTTTAGTTAGCACATACCTTAAACACTTAAAGCTGTAAGCTAATGATAGTTATGTAAGAGCAGATGCATGCTGGTGCAATAAGCTGTACGTTTTACGTCCAGTGGATGCATGATCTGATTGGTCGACTAATCGCAAAAATGATCGGTGACTAGTCGACTCTCAAAATAATCGTTTGTGGCAGCCCTATTGTGAACGTTGTAACTCATTCTTGTTTCCTCGCCTACAGACCTCCTGGATAGCCTTCCCTGTGTGAATCTTTGTGTCAAGTGTGGTGAAAGGAACTGCGGTCGTGAGTGTGGAGAGTTGGAGAACGAGTGATTCCCCCCTTTGGATTTCCCTGGAGCCCCGTCCCCCACATTGTTGTATATAGCACTGCCCTGCACTTCCTGTATATACACCTGGTGAACTCTGTAAATAAATTGTTGTGTTCATCTGATTCTGGAGTCCTGCGCTTGAGTCCCCCACGTTGAACCGTAACATGCATACATAAATGATCTTTGTGTTTAATGTATATAATGTGATATACATGTGTTTGCGTTGATATTTTCAGTTTTTATACACTAATGTGAGATTTTAAAAGGTCTCAGATATTTATGTTGTAAACATTTTGTCTTTTCTATGGTTTTCACACTGAAGAAAAGAGAGAGATAAATAAAACTTAAAGAACATGCATGGCCGTTGTTTTGTTGGACCCCTGAAGTTAAACACTGAGATCTTAAGTCAGCTCTTTGAATGGTATAATCAGCCAGTTCTATGTTTTATCCTACAATGTTGTAGCCAATGGTGTAAGGTTGATGGAGTATTTTTATTCCACAAAGAGAGTCCAAGGAACCCTAATCAGTGCAGTTCTTGAGACATTGCCTGCCATTTTGGAGTGCCTGCTGTCTGCTATTGGATCCCCCATAGCTGTTGGTCTCAGAGCTCTACAAGTTCTCAGCAGTCTATGCACTACAGATGTTTCAATCACTTCTGTCTGTAACCAAATAACTCCACAAGTTCCTGCAGAAAGAGACTTTAGATCTGGCAGAAGCTTTTATCCGCAAACAAGCTGTGTGTGACACACTTAAGGGCAAACACTCAGATGCATTTACCACAGAGCTGTATGAGAAAACCAAGGCCCTGTGCACCACCCACAGTATCCCTGAAACAGGTGCCAAGACAAGGCACAAACAGAGGAAAATGCTTGAGGCAACTGTGGGTTCACACACTGAAAATCTATTTGTGGCCTAAGATCCAAAAAAGTTGAAAAGCAATTTCTCAGTCTTTGTTTTCTCTTTGTGAAATTTTGTGCTCATGTGCTACGTTTTTTCATATCGTGTCCTTCTCTTGGGGGCTAAGCCCCCCCAGTCCTTAAAACCTAGTGACGCCCCCGGCCTCACTAGGTTTTTACAGTATTGCCCTGTAGAAAATACAGTATCCTTCTGTTAAACAAAATGCCATTAAAAACTGTAAAATAAATTACAGTATGGTGGCAGTAAATTGTCAGTGTTCGGTCCATACTGGGCAGTGTCTTCTCAGGAAAATGAAACCTATCTTTTCCTGTCACATGGTTTCTGGGAAATCAAGTGGTGTAGCCATTCAACTTTGGCTTTTCCTTTCGATATCACTCAATTGAAACTCATGTACACTCCTCTAATATGACATGCCATTTATTGAGAGCCGCTGGGAGGAGTTTGTTAGGGCCAGACCTATCATTAAATAGTACTGATGTCTCTATATAAAGAACAGTATCTGGTAGGATTCATAAGAAGGCAGCAGCATCTACACAAAACAGACAGAACTATAAGAAAAAAAAAACCCACACACAACAAGCAAAGGTGAGTTTATTATTGATTTCTGTAGTGTGTGTGTGTGTGTGTGTGTGTGTGTGTGTGTGCAAATACCTGGTAAAATCTGTGCCTGTGTGAGTATGATGGGTAGCAAATTAAAGGAAAAAATTAACAGCTGATCCCTAAAGTGAAGGTCTGGGTCTGGGTTACCTTTTCAAGGGAAATTTAACATTTACCTTAAAGAGGATGAAAATGATGTTCAGCACTAATGAGAAATGTTAAATGAACAAATTAGATGTTAATCTCCAACTCCACGGACAAGGAGCACTGAAGTTGTTATGCCAGCACATAGTGTTGCAGTACTTAGCTAGGACAGAAACCCGTTGGTTTTTCCTTGTCTGTATGTTTGCCGTACCGTTACACACCCATACTCGCTTTATTTGTTTTCAGTGAGGGTTCGTCAGCACTTTCTTATGTTGCATTTCTACATGCAGCAACATAACAATGACAGATGTCAGATGTCTATTCATATTAATGTACAGAATCCACCTACTACTGCACATTCACCCAGTGTATATACTATATATACATATATATACATATATATATATGATGTTCTTCCTCTACACCCCTCCACAATTTTTGCACATGTCGAGGAGCGTGTCAGGCTACATTTCACTGTGTGTTATACTTGTATAACTATGCATGTGACAAATAAAGAACCTTGAACCTTGAACCTCCCTCACTTTTACAGCTAGATAAGCAACATCTCCCTCTCTGATATTACATTTAATCTCTTATTGTTTTTAGCGCCCATATTTCTTAGTGATCGCAATATTTACCACATTATACTACAAATAAACTGTACAATTAAAAAATGCATTAAAAAAATCATTTTTAAAGTTTCAAAATTAAAAGTACTCATTCAACATGAAGCAAACACCAGTGTTATTCTGGATTATCATGGGAGATGTTTAATGTTGAGCTCAGCTGAAATACTTTTCGTTAATCCTCCTTGCAAAACAGACACTACAAATATATGATTGATTGATTGATTGATTGATTGATTGAATCTTTATTTTGAACATGTTGAAAAAGTACAACAACATAGAATTAAAAGAGTGGGAGTTTCCCCCCAAAGAGGGACAAAAGGAACAAATAATGATGATCCTCTAAACACCTAGGTTTAAATCTGGGACTCTCTGCCATTTGACCTTAGAACTGAAGAAGCTTCTCGGATGAGAGATGAAACGTCTTCAAGCAACTTAAAGAAGTCCAGACGCTTTTCTTTCCAAGCTCCTTTGACTACGATGACCTGGATGACTGAGAACCTTCACAGACAAATCGATTGAGATAAATATTTTGAGTTGAGTCTTCCTATCAGCTTATAGCAGTCTACCCATTTTCTTCTGACACGAGTGGTTATCACCCAGAGAAATGCTGCTATGATATTTTTAATTTTTTGGACCATAAGCAGTTTGAGTCAACTGCTGTTGTGATTTTGCACTATGTAAATACTGGAAAATCATGGAAAATCCCAGTAGATCATGCCACATTCGAAATGAAATAAATGAGTTTTCTTATTAATTCTGAGGCTCAGTTTGAACTTCAGCCAGTCATTCTGACCATGTCTATGTGCCTGAATGTTTTGAGTTGCTGTCATGTTATTAATGAGCAGGTCCATGTTTGTACCTGATAAAGTGTAGTGATTTTATGCTGCACACAGGGGACAAATAAATAGTTTTCTTTTTGTACTTTCATCTGTGATAAACTGAATGCATATGTGATACACAGAACTTCAGTAAAATGAGAAGCTGATGAGATGGATGATCAAGATATTGCATCGGCAGAGGAAAACAACGACAGCACAGGAGGAGAGTCTGAAAACATGTCTGAAACACCTCCCATCAATGAGAGAAGTAATTTGATCATATTATAGTGTTATAGTCAGACCTATTTAGACTATGCATCTGATTTTAGTTTAGAGACAATGAAAAATTATTAAACTAGTTAAATGTAACTTTAATTTATTTGTATATTTAGTTACTATTCAGTAAAATCATACTCAGACTGTGATTTTAATGGTTTCTGTATTGTAACATGTTCATGTTGTTCTTTTTCTTCAGTGGCTCCTGATCTCACACTTGTACTAATTGGTGACCCAGATTCCACTGAGATCGGACCAAAGAACATTTTTCTTGACCATGACGACCAAACAAATGTGGAACCATTTTCCTCCAATCTGTATAATCTGTGTGGTCAACATGTCCGCGTCATTAACATGCTCGGTCTACAAACAAAGAAAATCCCTTTAAATCAGGGAGTTCATGCCTTTGTCTTACTATTACCCAACACTCTGCATAGCAGCCAGTACAGCTCAGGAGTGCAGTGGTTAGAGAGAACCTTTGGGATTGGAGCACTTTCTTATTTAATCACAGTGGTAACTCACGAAACAGGTGAAACATGTGAAAGTGCATTAAAAGAGCTGAAAACTAACACGGAGTTTAATGAAAAAAGGTTCCACACATGTAACAGAAATATGATGGATGAAAAACAGGTAGCAAATTTGTTAGAAAAAATAAATGTCATGGTCTCTGAAAATGATCCACAAAGCTACACTGGACTGATGTGTGCTGAAGATAAAGACCAAGAAGGACACCTGGAGGACAAATCCCACAAAGAAGAAAGGAAAAACTCAACAAACGAAAGAGGTACCTGCCTGTCTGTGTTTTAGGCAAACAAACTCTTGCACTCAGCAGTGGGCTAACCTGTGAATCTTAATTTGATTAGATACAATGAATTCGGTGACATTTATCTTTAGAATTGTCCTTGTAACCAAAATTTTATTCATTTGATAGATTTGTGCAAAAGTTGTGAGGGTTTCTGTCCAGAAAATATTAAACGCAGAGGTGTAGTGGTGTTTGTTTAAATAGTGGTTACCCATCTGCCTATGTCTACACACAAATTAGAGTTATTTGTTTCTGAGGCTGTTTCACCCCAGTGACAAATTCACATTGTTGTAGTTATGAATTAACTGAGCATAAAGTCGTCTATCAGACCATCTTCATACATACCACTTCTTTTCATTCTTTCATTTGAGATACCTGCCTCCTCTCTACGTACAGATGCGTTTGGAAGAACATAATGATTCTTCGTCAGGCTTCTCTCATGTGTCTTAACTGCCACATTGATGTCTGGGAGCTAGATGGGCTTAAATTGTAATATTACCACTCATTTTGGTATGATCATGGAGACACAAAATACATTAGCTTATTCGTGTTTTGATCAGTATTATTGCTGCTCCCCTTTTTTTCCAAGCGAGGATAGCAAATATTCAGTTTGTTTCAGCTGAAATTGGGTTGTTAGTTTAAGAGTAGGTTATTTCATGCAAGAAGGTTAATAAAGACAAAATAAGTAAAAGTAAGTAAGTAAAATTTATTTATATAGCACATTTCACAGATAAAAATCACAAAGTGCTTTACAGTAAGATCAGACATACAAGTTAAAATTAATTAAAAGCCCGTTTGTAGAAAAATGTCTTCAGCTGCTTTTTAAAGGAGTCAGTAAAATAATAAGCAGTGTTGGGCAAGTTACTTTGGAAAAGTAATTAGTTATAGTTGTTACTTCTTCAAAAAAGTAATTGAGTTAGTAACAGTTGTGCAATAAACAAAGCTATATGCAGCTATTTACCTAAAAATGCATCCAAGGCCGGGATTTTTTTATAAGCATTTCAAACTGTTCACAGTAGTGATGTGTCCTGTGTGTCGAAGCTTCGAATGTGCGTCGGGTAATCGCGGGGGCGTTTTTCTGAAGCGCGTATCGAGGCTTGCTTTGATTACGTATGCAGTGACGTTCGAGGCCTCGCGGGCAGTCCGTACCACGTGACTGATTCAGGGACTGGTTCATCGGTTCGCGCCAGATTCGAAATAACATGGGCAGGAAAACAGCTGATTCCCCATACACCGTGTGTGTGGAATTGGATTACGTACGTGCTACATAGTTACTTGTGCATTTCTTCTTCGATGGAACCAGCAAGGAAGAGATGTTTTTTTTTTAATTTTGTCTCTCCTAATAAAGTATGCACACAGTAATAAATATCACAAATGATAAACACCAAAATATAAATAAACAACACTACACATCCTATAATCTGATTTCTGTCTTTTAGTTTATTAAAAAGTGAAGCACCAAACACTAGTTTGTGTCATTATCCAGATGTACATAAGGTTTACACATCATTATAATCAAAGAGCCCGCTTCACTTGAATTGTCCACTTGATGGCGCAGTAGAGCAAATGAATCATCACAATGCTTCGAACCATGAGTCGACCAATTGGATGGAAAGCTTCAGTTCATCATGAGGCTTCATCTCACCATCACTAGTTCACAGAACAATCAGGTGTTCTGCATCAAATAAGATGCCACACAAATTATTTGTTCCACTCAAAAAAATTATTTCTGTCCACGATAAGATAAAGGACAACATCAATACCCTGATACTTGCAGGGCGTGTATCTGTTATGAAACGGCTGTGTGCAGACAGGAAAAGGACCCAAAGTGCCGTCTCCGGAGACAGAAAGTAATTCAAATTTATTGCTAAACTCCAAAAAGTAACAAAACTGAGACTCCAAGGTGAACTTACGCCAACAGAACACACAGCTAGATAAGGGTAGATCACAACACCGCCAAACTGAAACACAGGGCTTAAATACACAGAGGGAGCAATCAGGGAATGAGTAACAGGAGGGAAACACAGCTGGGTCAAATCAGGCCTAACGAGACAAAGGAAGCACAACCAGATGCATTTACATGAGACACAGACTTTCAAAGTAAAACAGGAAACATAACACAGATTGAACTTACAGACACAGACTCACAGGCAGGCACTACAACAGAGGGAACAGAGACGTGGGACCAGGGCAGACACAGACACTGACTGGACACGGGGATATAGCAGACAGGGGAGACAGCAACTAAGGATTACACAGAGACATAAACCATAAGACAGAACTGTAACAAAGAAACCAAAGACTAGAAATAATAAATAATATAATAAACTCAAAACTCTGGGTCAACAACCCAGGCATCCTAACAGTATCACACATCCTGTTTTCCACCTGGAGACTGCGTTTACACAGCAAAAAAAAACAATCAACTACACAACACACTAACTACACACAACAAACATACTAAACATTGACTTTAATGACTTTCATTTTGGTTTATTGTAAACTACAGTACACAAATATCAAATTATGAAATTCAGTTCATCTGTTTGTGTGTTTTAAATTGAATTATTCAAACAAATTTAAACCAAAATAACATACAAGTATTAGGGGGTAAACACATAATTATGGCATTTCCTGTATGAGGCCTCTGTGGTGTTTGCCTGGCCAATTTCTAGTTACTAAAACAATATATCATGCCTTTACCACTGAAAATGTGCATATGAAATGAGCAGTGACTGGTTGCCTTGATCTTGGATTGTAAAATAATTATTTTAAGACTTGTATGCTGATCAACTGTGTGAAAAATGTTTGACAGCTCAGGAAATGTATAATTGAGTTGTAATCACTTTTTATGCTGTGGCAAAGGATTGAAATTCACTGTCGCCCAATGGACATGCCCTAATTGATGCTCAAAAGCTTTAAAATTGCTCTGTGCCATCAAAGCTCAGGTCCTCCACAACCATCTACAACCACTAAATGGTAACATTTTAATGAAAATTGGATTTTATATTAATAGGAATAAGCCAAAAATGGAAATGGTGACAAAATACTTATGTCAGCTGCTCCTCAGAATCAGAATCAGAAACTTTATTGTCATTGTCACAAGAACAACGAAATTAAGAATGGTCCCCGA